CCCCCCCCCCCCCCAACACACACATTTCCAACCACGTCAGTATTCAGCAGAAAGAGTGTGGTGGACTAACATTATATACTTTCCCTCAGCTCGAGGAAGACAGTACCAGGGACACTCAGGTAAACTGATTAGAGATGTGGTCAGCAGTGAACTGGATGCAGTGGTCATTGTCACTGTCAGTGGGTTATATTGATATTATTATTACTTGATCTATTTGGTATCAATGCTATGTTTATCAATATCTTTCTGGGATCAGGCATGGAATTTCTGTCACCAAATTTCTGTTATGTCTAAAAGTTCGAATCACTCTGGGAATCTGCAGAAAGGATGGAAAAATCAGTGTGCGGAGAGGAATAGAAAAGCTTTTTTTCCCCGGGATCACTTTTCCATGTTTTGAAATCAACATATTCAATTCTAAATCGGCAGAACTGTTTACTTTTGAAATGCATTCTTTTATTTTGGTGAAAAAAAAAAAAAAAATTTTAACCAGTACACTTACACATGTAGCTGTATTTTCCTGTGGCCAGTGTAGATAGCCACAGTTAACACCTGATGACAGCATCCAGGTCTTGGAATAGAAATTACAGTTAGGAAATTTTGACATGATTATGTTTAAATATTATGATGCAAGAATATCATTTTCTTTGCTTCAGGTATCGTACACATGTACACGTTGTATTTTGTTGAAAAGAAAAACTTACTTTGATTTCTTTCTACAGAGGGTCGACTTAAATTTGACCTTGTTTGATTTATATTTATGGCTATATCAACAAAAAATTTGTAAACGGAGAAGTTATTTGCTTTTTAAAAATGATATAATTGTTTAGATAAACTTTTTTAAAAATTCAACTTCTTAATTTTCAGGAAGTTGACGCTAGATGGCAGCGTTGATGTTTGTGACAAAATGATAGATGCAGATGTGTTGAATCCATTGTTTGCTCTGCAAAAAGAAGTAAGTGCATGCTCTTTATCTAAAAAATAATGTCTGATTTTCAATAAATTGTTATAAATTTTGTAAAAGGTGCTGAAATGTGAAACTTACTAAAAAATGCAGAAAACTTCTTTACAGCCCATACAATGGGTCAAAGTTATGAGGGAAGAAAATCATTATGGTCACTTTATCATTGTATAACACCAGATAGAACTTTGCCTCACAAAGGTTTCTCTTGTTATGTTAAAAAATGAGCATTTAAATAACAATAATTGCTGTTTTATAATGGGAAGACATTGGAAATTGTGATTTCAACTGTTGCGGTTGTATTATAATACATAGGGACCATTCAGAATGAGAAGAGCAGAGTGCTAGCTAGGCCACGGCCTAAATATGGCAGACCTACATGAAAGGAAGACCGCTTAATCCTGTAATGGTCTCTCCACCTCTAACAGGCCTCCCCATGCATCGTCCCCACAGGGCCACAGTAATTTAATCTTGGTTCATTTCAACCAGTTACAGTTGCATTATGGGAATACATTGAGCATTGTGACATCAACAATTGCAGTTGTATTATGGGAATACATTGAGCATTGTGACATCAGCAATTGTGGTTGCATTATGGGAATACATTGAGCATTGTGACATCAGCAATTGCGGTTGCATTATGGGAATACATTGAGCATTATGACATCANGACATCAACAATTGCTGTTGTATTATGGGAAAACATTGTGACATCAACAATTGCTGTTGTATTATGGGGAGACATTGAACATTGTGACATCAACAATTGCAGTTTCATTATGGGAATACATTGAGCATTGTGACATCAACAATTGCAGTTGCATTATGTGAATACATCGAGCATTGTGACATCAACAATTGCAGTGGCATTATGGGAATACATTGAACATTGTGACATCAACAGCTGCTGCTGTATTTTGGTAAGAGATTGAACATTGTGACATCAGCAAGTGGTGTTAGATTATTGAGAATACATTGCTTTTTTCACTTGCTTAGTATATTATTCAGTCATATTGTTTATCAATCATATTGTCATATTTTTACTGTTTTATGTACATCGTGCCTGTATATGTAGCCATCACTTGCATCTGTTGTTGCTGTTGTTGTTGTCCCCAACATTTTTGTTATCGCTGTGCACTTTCATTGTCAGTAAGTGGAAAACTGGTAGATCTGTTGTCTTCAAACTGGCAGAACTGATGAACATTTGTGATAAACAGGCATAATTCAAAAATTGGCATGCTCCCACCAATTTTTTTCTCAAAGGTTAATCTTTTTTTTTCACTTTTATCAGCATGTATGCAATACAAGCAACACATTTCAAGGAAAACCAATAGGCTTTTTGTTTTCAAACCTTCAGGAGTGATCAGTATTATTGTTATGCGTTTTTTTTTTTTTTTGGTTGGTTTGTTTGTTTTTTGGCATGTATTATAATACATGGGCAGATCCAAGATTATTTGAAGGGGTGTCTGCAGATGTAATGTCGACCTTCCCCCCCC